CTGCGGCATGCCCATGCCGTGCTGCGAATAGCCGTAGCCGTAGCTCATCTGCGCGTGCTGCGGGTAGCCTGCAGCGCGCGGGCTGGCGCAGCTTGGCGACAGGCTCGCGGGGGGACACGCAGGCGCGCGGCACGGCGCGGCAGGGGGAGGGCGGGCCGGTGGGGAGGGCGGGCCGGTGTCGCCTGCGTGGTACCCGCTGGTCCCCATCTGCCCGTACATCTGACCGTACGCCGCACCGTACTGCATCTGGTTGTGCATGGACATATACTGCGCCGTCGGGCCGTAGGTGTAGCCCCCGTGCTGCATCGCATAGCCGCCCATCCCATAGCGACCGGCCATGCCGCCGCCGCCGCCGCCGCCGCCGCCGCCGCTCCGCCGGTCGCCGCCGCTGCGCCGCCGCTCATTCGGCTGCCGCCCGCGGCTCTCGCGGCCGCGCGATCCGGGCGCATCGGCCCAGCGGACGACGAGCGGCTCCGACGCATCCGGGAGCGTCACATTGCCATGGATCGCGTCGATCGCCCGCTGCGCCGTCTCCTGCGTCGCAAAGCGCACAAATGCGCAGGCCATCCCGGACCGCGACCCTCCGCGCATGATGAAGATCTCGTCGACGGTGCCGTGCTTTTCGAAGATCTGCGCCGGGGAGGGTGCGGTTTGACTCGGGCCGCAGGTGGCGACGAGGCAGTTTGGTTCGCGCACCGCGCGCAGGGCCTCCTCATCGCTCGTCGGCGGGCAACCACCTGCGCAGGAGCGCCAGCGCAGTGGGAGTGTGGCCGTCGCTTCCGGCCACCGGTGAAGGGCGGAGCGACGTGCTCCCGAGAGGCGGTGTGGTTGTGCACACACGCGCGCGCACCGACGAATAGCTTGTTCTCCAGGTTTGGGACCGTGCCTGCAGCCATCTTGCTCTCGTCGCTTTGTCGCCGCCCCAGCGGCGCCCCCCTGCGGCACAGGGCACGCCGCGCGGCGCCCTCAGCAGGCAGCGAGCGGCCAGGCGGGTTTCCGACTGGCAGAGGTGGCTGGGGCTTGGGGATAGAAGGGGGGAGGGCGTCCGGCGGCCCTGCTGCCGCAGCGTGCCTCTACCTGCTTCCTGCCTCTAATGAAGCCCCGATGCAGAAAGAATTCTCGCGTGAGTGCGGTTTGCTGCTGGGGGGTCAGACACCCCCCCCCCCCCTAGCAGCAGGGACTGAGCCCTGGCCTCGACACCTCGACACCAAACCTCGACACCGACTCGACACCTCGACACCCCATGCCAACTCGACCAACTCGACACCCCTCGACACCCCTCGACACCCCTCGACACCCCTCGACACCATCTAGGCTGGGACCATGCTCGTCCGTGTCAAGGTGCCAAACTCGACACCTCGACACCGCTCGACACCGCTCGACACCGCTCGACACCGCTCGACACCGCTCGACACCGCTCGACACCGCTCGACACCACCTCGTCACCTCTGATGATCCTAACACAGCAGAGACGTAGAGAAGACCCATTTGGAGTCACAGAGTGAGAAAATCAGGGTTCCAGCAGCAATCAAACTTGGCTGGCAGTACTTTCATCCCTCAGTTGCAGCCTCTTAAGTTCTGCCAAGAGCGCTGTGGTCAGTTGCGCTTTGTGCGCCGGCGACGCTGCAGCGGCGACAACGCTGCAGCGGCGACGCTGCTGCATGGGGTGTGCTGTAGCCTTAGGTGCTGCGCCTGCACAGCACCTTGTGCAGTGGCAATGACTCCTGGCACTAGTGAGCTTGATGTCCTCAAATGTCCACACAGAGTATACTGGTTGTGCTCACACACAGGTTGTGCTACATCAACAGGGGTGCAACTTTGAGAGGCTGCAACTAAGGGATTTGGCCTTTGCAGCTGCGGCCCAAGTTTTGTTATGGGCTGCAACTGCATCCTGCCACCTTGGATACCTCGACACCTTAGACGCTAAACACCTTGACAACACTCGACACC